GTGGCTTGGCCGTGGACCAGCTCTGTGGTCCTTAGCACATGAAAGTCAACCCCTCGGACCCTCAGCTTCTGCTTTATAAATGAGGATTCTCATGCTACTTCCTGGGTTGATTGAAAAGTAAATCAAATAATAGGAGCAGAGCCCCTTGCACAGGGCCTGGCACATAAACGACTCTCTAAGTTGTAGTTCCTTTATATTTGCAAACGTGTTCCTGGTGAGAATGCGCTTGAGTTCACCAGCTGGAACATGATCCAGGCATCAATTTATGCAATGAGGTATCCCGGGAGCAAATGCCCATCGGTTAGGCAGGAAGTGATGGGAGTCCTTCTTCAGAACAGTTTAGCCTCACTCTGATTACATCTCAGGACCCCGGAGACCTTCTGAACAGCCATAAACCTGGATGGTTGTGATTAGCTCCAATGAATTTATACTGGCAAATTTACCAGCCACTCTCTTAAGCACTTTATGTGTATTAACTCATTTAATCCTCATACCCACTTTGAGGACCACCTTGAGGTCCTCCTATCATTGCCTTTTTGTAAATGAGAAAGCTAAGGCCCGGAGAGCTGAGGTCACTTGCCCAAGGTCACACAGTGGTGAGTGCTGTAGCAGGGATTCAAACGCAGGAAGCCAGAGTCAGCGGGCCCACCTAACCTTTTCTCACACCGTGCAAACTGCCTCTGCCTGCCCGCCCATGTCCGCTCTGGGCTGCTGGGAGGGTCCCTGGAGGCCATGACTGTGACCTTATTGTGGGAGGGCTCATGCCAGGGGCCTCACGGCTCTGCCATCCAGAAAGCCGAGGGCTGCCCCTGGAATGTCCCCCATCTGCCTGGCTCTGCCCTCTGGGGTCCTACACCCCTGTGCGCTCCATCTGCCGCTGGAGCAGCCAGCGGAGACCTGGAGGTGGGGTCCCTGCAAGCTGAGCAGCGGCCCCTACGCCCCTGCCAGGCTCTCCACGGCTCGTGCAGAAAGCCGTTGTATCTCCCCTGCTTTAGAGCCTGCATCCCCGGTCGATCAGAGGCCTGTTCCTGGCTGACTGTTGGCCTAAGAGGCAGAAGGGCAGCAATGGCCTCCTGATTGTAAATATCCCTGCCCCGACAGGGCTTTTAGCAGCTCAGTCCACAGTCCTTCAGACTGGCTAATGTCTGTTAATGTGGGTCCTCAGCACAAAACCCTTTTAGGCTCGGAGCAGCTTGCTGGCCTCAGGGGAGGGCCAAGCCGCCTGGGTCCTGTGCTCTGAGAGGCCTGGGAGGAGCACTGGCCCAAGCTCCGCCCTGAGGAGCTGCCCTTCAGAGCCACAGCTGGCTTGGGAGCTGAGGGTCTGTGTGGGGCTCCTGGGGGGTTTGCCTGCTGCCAGCCAAGGGCAGCCTACAGTCAGCTCTTCCGCGGCACCTGCAGGACAGAAACTGAAGCACAGCGCTGGGCCCGAGTGTGGAGATAAAGGCCCTGGAGCAACTGGGTGTGCCACAGCCCCTCCAGCACTGCTCATGCCCTTTGACCCCGGAAATGATCCAAGGGAAGGGAAAGGCTGTGTGCAGGACAGAGGGCAGGACACTGACTCAGAGAGGGCTGGGGCTCTCCCTCAACCCAGCAAGGACACCGCAGACTCCCACTTGGCAGCAGGAGCCCTGGGCGTGACCCTGCCCACATGACCCTGGGCAAGTGCCTGGGTGTGGAATTCCACGGTGGCCAGGGAGAGAGTGCAGTGAAGCACTGGTGGTGCCTGCCCCCCGGGCAGGCGCGAGAGCTGTGCTGGGTTTACCGTTCCTGGTTTCACAGAGCCCTTCAAGTTCTGCAATTTTATAACAAACTTTTGGCGAATCCAGAAAGGACCTGTCTTTACAGAAACTTTGGAGTTTTCTCTTATATAATTTTGTATTGCAAAATTTACAGTTTTTATAGGAAGTTTGGGGAAAAAGTTTTAAAGACATAGATGATAGTCCTGGATGGTGTGGCTCAGTTGGTTGGAGCAGCATCCCATAGACCAAAGAGCCGTGGGTTCGATTCCCGGTCAGGGCACACACCCGAGTTTGAGGGTTTCATCCCTGATTGGGATGTGTATAAGAAGGTGACCAACTGGTGTGTGTGTGTGTGTGTGTGGCTCTCTCTCTCTCTCTCTCTCTCTCTCTCTCTCTCTGTCCCTCTCTCCCTTCCTCTCTCTCTGAAAGCAATGAAAATATGTCCTCAGGTAAAAATTTAAAAAAATTAAAAAAAAAGACATAGATGATAAAAACCACCCATTTATCTCACCATCTAGAGAAAACCACCAACAACATTTTGGTGCGTTTCCCTCCAGTTTTTTTTTTTCCTCGGTTTCAACATACACATGTACGGGCATGCACACATACACGGATGCATACAATAGCAACTGCTCTTATTTGAGCACTATCACTATATAGGACACCCCTGTTTGGCTTTTCATGCACAATATCTCATTTTACACCGTAACAATCCTGCAAGGAAAAGATGATTATTCACATTTATAGACAGGGAAAAAGAGGCTTGCAAAATTTGACATGATCCAGTTTCGGTTTTGGAAAGCTCACCAGATGACGGTGTGCAGAAGGCCCGGAGCCTGGGCGAGGGGTCCACGCTGGGCCCCGGTCCCGTGCAGGCCTGAGCCAGGGCCCGCGGGTACAGGGTTCCCCGCCAGGGCCCGGGCTCTGGGTGCTGCCCCTGCTGCCAGGGGCAGGAAGTCTGCACTCTCTTCCCTGTTCAGGGACCCAACTTTTTCAGCCATGGAGAAGGCAGACCATCTGAAAGAAACGGAACTTTTGCCCGCCTCCTTACATATCATTCTCAAACAGCACATGTCCAAATCCTTTCATTTCACTCTCTCACTGAATGTGTATGTGAGGGTATATTTTTTCTGAATTCTTTGAGGGTAAATTACATTCACCTGTGCCTTTTACTCCTCAATACTTGAGTGTTTCCTAAAAATAAGAATATTCTCTAAGAACATAACCACAGTACGTAATCAACTTCCCATTGCAACAGTATTTTAATCTACTGTTCGTTTTCCAATTTGTCACATAACGTCCTTCGTAAAGTTTCCCCTCCTGTAAGGGACGCAGTCTAGAGGGAGGTGTCGAATACCCCTTTTTGAGGAGCGAGAGCTGTGTCAGGCAGCCTGTTTCTGAGGGGGAGCCCAGGACCACCGCCTCTGTTTGCAGACCGACTATGATGCACACACGAAGCCCCCGCAAACCCGGGGCTCAGCTGCCTGCCTCCCCGTTTGTGCGAGGTGGTTCCAGGAAAGCCCTGTCTGTGTCTGTTCTCATAGCAGCCGTCCTCTCCCCAGCCTTGCTGAGCAAGGTCAGAGGCTGTCGCATTGTCTTTGCTCAGTCTCGATTGGGCACAGTCTCAGGATGTCCCACAGAAGTGCAGTGGTCTCTGCAGAGCTGGGGAGGCGAGGGGGTCCGTATTCCCCGAGTTCACTCTGTTCTTAAATGTTCCTTTTTTAAAATTCTGAGCCTGCTGATTCTGCGAGGTCTGCGAGGCACTCGGCAAGGGGCTGCGGGGTCTTGTGCTCACCCAGCCCCTTGCCGAGAGCCTGTCCCCTACGTTCCTCCTAAAGACTTCCTGAGTGAGGGGATGTTGGCCAGTTTCCTTCTCAGCTGCCCCTTTTTCTTAGATGTAAGAGGGTTCGGGGGAGCATTTGGAGGGTGGGCTCCAGAGCCTGGGCCGGATGGCGGATGCCGCGGAGCCTGCCTGCGCGGGTGGAGAGCCCGGCCTGCCCCGTGTCCTGCCGGGACCAAGCGGTGCGATGTGCAAAACGAGTGTGCTGGCTCCTGCCACCTCCAGGGTTTTGTTCCTGAACCCATGTGGCTGGCCCATGGCCCAGGAAACCTCCCCGTCTGTCACTGTAGTTGGAGATTTCAGCTTTGGGGCTACGTGGCAAGGGCTGTGGGACCTGTGTGTCCTCCTTCGCAGGTGGGGGAAAGGAGAGAAGGGGAGGGAAATGTCATTCACATACCATAAAATTCACCATTTTCAAGTGTACGAGTCAGTGGGTTTTGGTATATTCCATGGTCGTGCAACCATCGCCACTATCTAACTTCCAAGTAATTTCATCTCCCCCAAAAGACACCCCACCCTCCTCAGCAGTCGCTCCCTGTCGCCCCCTCCCCCAAGCCGCTAATCTGCCTTCAGTCTCTATGGCTTTGCCTGCTCTGAATTTGTCATATCATTCATTAGTCTGGGTTCTGAATACCAGCTACCAGGGGATGTGTTAATTTGCTCAAGCAATGAAACCACGTCTGGTGTGTCATCTAAGTGGAATCACAATATTTTGTGGTTTTTGATGTCTGACTAATTTCACTCAGCACAATGTTTTCCACGTTCATCCATGTTGTAGCGAACATCAGCACCTCATTCTCTTTTTGAATGAGTAACATCCCATTGTATGAACATACTACACTTTGTGTGTCCATTCCTCTGCTGATGGACGTTTGGGTGGTCTCTGCCTTTTGGTGATTTTGGATAATGCCTCTGTGAACATTGGTGTACAAGTTTTCTTGTAGACCTATGTTTTCCTTTCTCTTGGTGATATACCTAGATGTGAAATTACAGGGTCATATGCTAACTATGTTTAACTTGTGAGGATCTGCCTGCCAGACTGTTTTCCAAAGTGGCTGCCCCATTTTTGTCCCCCCACCAGTGGTGTATGAAAGGAAATGCCCTTTTATCGAACACCGACCGTGTGATAGGCACTGCGCTAGGCCCTTTCCACACCTCATGTCCTGTGACCCTCACCCCAATCCTGGGAAATACCTCTCATTGCCTTCACTTTCCTGGGGAAGACACTGAGGCTCAGGGAAGTGACGTGACTCGCCAAGGATCATGCAGGGAATGGTAGTAAGTCCTAGACTCACCCCCAGTTCTGCCTCTTATGTTCGCCTGTCTACTCGGGGATGACCGACTGACTGAGGGACCGAGTCATATGGTAAAGTGGAATTAATCCTCTCTCCTCCCCACCCCTCCTGGGCGTTGTTTTGCAGACGGGAAAGTTGGACCCCCACTACCCGAAGGTCTGCGGACACAGAGGGAACATCTTAGACATCAAGTGGAACCCTTTTGATGACTTTGAAATCGCCTCTGCTTCTGAAGATGCCACAGTGAGTGTCCGCACATAAAGCTGCTCCGTTGACCAAAAGGAGTGGGTTGGGGCAGAGAGGGAGCTGGAGCAGTGTCTGTACTCAGCTCCTTCTGACGCTCCTGAGTCCTTCATCCTTCATGATGTGAGGTGGCCTGGGAGGGGGCGGGTGTCATTTAGATTCTGGCCGCTGCGCACCTTGGGGCATGACCCCTCCTCTCTATGGGCCTCAGTTCCCCCACCCATAAAATGGGCATAGCAGTTCCCAACCGCTTAGTGACAGATCCAATGAGATTCGTACTCCAGTGGGAACGCCCACCTTGCCCACCTTTTAGGGGAGCTATAAAATGCTATGAGGGGCATTTTTACTGTGTCCAGAAAATACCGTGCCACTTCATCTCACAGACAGTAGGGAAGCAAATTTTAAAAGGACAGGCATGGGAGCCCTGTGTGAATGTGGACAGCAAAACCTTCCCAAAAGCCTCAGCCCCACCAACTTTGCGGAGCTCCTGTTTTATACCAGGGACCTCATCCCCGCCCCCACGATGTTCAGTATTACTTATTTATAATTTATCCTATGCCACTTCTAAAACACAGTGGGTATGGCTTAAAACAAAAGGTACAGATATGATCAGGTGGTTCAAATAAGAATAAAAGTCCTGGTTATTATTTGCTGTGAGCCCACTGTGTGCCTGACCTCATGACACATCATCATCTCACTCAGTCTCCCCTTTCTGGCCACCCCACAAGGTAGGGCACTTTTCTGATGTGGAAGCTAAGGCTCTGAGAGGCGCGGCTATTTGCCCAGTGTTGCACAGTTTGTACAGGCAGGGCCAGACTTCAAATTGAAGTCTGATTTCAGAACCCGGTCTATTTCCACTGAGCTATGCCAGTTCCCTAAAATGCAACAGCCACAGGTGGGGGAAGTGAGGAAATAATACTAGAAACCCTGGCAATGGAGGGTTGCAGCTACTGAGCCCTAGGTTTAGCTCAGAGCTGCCTGGCAGCCAAGGCAAAAAGGGGAAATAGAACGTATTGTAGAACCTTCATTGCCTGCTCAAAGGAAACACACCAGCTGATCAGGACAAGCAGGTGGGAAATTCTAAGAGGACCTGTGTTGGTTTCCATAAAGGGGATGCTGAGGAACGTAAAAGGGGCCCCTGCAAAGGGGCCTGCCCTGTCCTGCTCCAGACATTGTGTTGGGCTGGCTCCCTAGTGCCCTGAGGATTCGGCACAAACCCTTCCTCCTGCCATTCAAGGCTCCACCCTGGGCCTCTGGGACAAGGAGTAGGGAGACACCACTGGACATTGGGGGATACTCTCTGCTGGGAAGCAGACCTGCTCTGCTACCCAGCCGGGAGTCAGGCCTGTGGCCCTCCTTCCTACCCACTGCCTCAGGTCATTAGGGTGGCAGAGATTACCAGAGGGCACGTTGGGAGGCCTGGACCCAACTCTGGTCAGCACCAGCCCCTACTTGGGCTGGAGGACCTTGGCAAAGCCCCTGTCCCTCTGAGGTGCCGCTGCTGGCCCTCTACTGAGCAAGAGGCAGATACAGAGAGGACTCCTCGCTGCTCTTAGAGTGACGGGGGTGCCACGGTGGCCCTGGCTAACACTCCCCTGGGCCATGTAACCCTTGGCAGATTAAGATCTGGAACATCCCCAAGCAGCTGCTCTCAAGGAACCTCACAGCCTTCAGGAAGGAGCTGGTGGGCCACTCCCGCCGCGTGGGCCTGGTGGAGTGGCACCCCACGGCTGCCAACATCCTCTTCAGCGCTGGCTACGACTACAAGGTGGGTCTGCGTGTGAGCTTCCTGGGGCTGCCCTGACAAAGGACCAAACTGAATGGCTTAAGACAACAGAAATTTGTTCTCACACAGCCCTGAAGACTAGAAACCCTAAATCAAGATGTTATGAGGGCCATGCTGCCCCAAAGGCTCTAGGCGAGAATCCTCCTGAGATTCTTCGAGCTCCTTGTGGCTGCATCACTCCAACCTGCCTTGGTTGTCACATGGCTTCTTTTTTTTAAATTGTTTTATTTATTGGTTTATTTATTTGATTTGAGAGAGAGAGAAACATCGATTGTTTCTTGTATGTGCCCTGACCCAGGATCAAGCCCTCGACCTTGGCCTATTGGGACGACTCTCTGACCAGCCAGGCTATCCGGCCAGGGCCACGGCCTTCTTTTCTGTGTGCCTCCGTGTCCTCTCCTCTTCTTATAAGGACACCAGTCATTGGATTTAGGGCCCTCTCAAATCCAGTATGACCTCATTGTAACTAATTACATAAGCAAAGACATTATGTCCACATAAGGTCATATTCTGAGGTTCCAGGTGGACACAAGTTTGGAGAGGACACTATTCAACCCATCAGTCTGCCTGGAGGGGATGGGCGGGACCCTGAGAACTGGGAAAATCCATGATGTGGGAAACAGATTCCTTACCGACTCACCTCTGACTTGCGGTGTGAGCCGGGGAAGTCTTCTCTGGGCCTCCGCTTCTCAATCTGCACACACACGGGGTTGGTGTGACCATAGCCGTGGCCTTTAAACTCTTCCCTTCACAACCCTGTAGGGCTTTCCTGAGGCACCTCCGGGGCCCCTGTGATGGATGAAATGGGAGTGGAGGCGAGGGCGGCGCTAAATGTCTGTGTAGGGTGTGTCTGCAGGGCTGCTGCCTGGGGTTGTGCAGGTTCCTCTGTACACAATGCCGGGGGCACTGTTCACATAAGGGATTATGGGAACGGGTCGCCCTGGAGCTGCACAGTGCACAGTCTGGGCAACCAAACATGGCGGCCCTCTTCGCCTGTGTGAGGTAAAAACTGTTGTTGGAACCCCCCTGGGCTAGCTGGTCCCCCGGGGTCCTCCCAGCATGGATGTTTCATTGCTCCAAGGCAGATGGTGTCTTTTTCTTTTTTTCACTGCCAGCCAGCCTGACTCCCGGCTTTCCCCTCCTACCACACGGCAGCTTCGGCCGTAGATCCACCCTCCCACCTGAGGCCGCTCGGCCAGACTGCCATCTGTGGCTTCCCCCCGGGGATACTGTGTTTCACGGCAGCCTGGCCGGCGTGTGACTGTGGGGGCCAGGGGCAGGGCGGCCACTGTGCTCAGAGGCGGCTCTCTGCCATGCAGGTGATGGTCTGGAACCTGGATACAAAGGAGCCTGTAATCATGAGCCCTGTGAAGACAATTGACTGTCACCAAGATGTGATCCTCTCTATGTCCTTCAACACCAACGGCAGCCTGCTGGCCACCACCTGTAAAGACCGCAAGATTCGGGTTCTCGACCCCCGAGCAGGGGAGGTCCTGCAGGTCAGTACTAGGCTGGAGTCTGGCTCGGGGTCAGAGGAGCAGGGCGTGGAGTGGAGACGGTGGGGGCTTCTTAGAACAGGGTAGATCATAAGTGGCCAAGCCTTCACACATGTTATCCCCATTTTTCAGAACGCTCCCCATTTTGCAAGAACCGAGGTAAAGATGTGTCATTCCCATTTTTCAGATGGGAAAACTGAGGCAGAAGAGAGGCTAAGAGACTTGCTCACATTGAAAGCTGGGATCTGAACGTGGTCTAATGCCAAAGCTTGTCAGTATGCCTCAGCTCCGTCAGGAGCGAGACATGGGATTGGAGACCTCAGGGTGCCACTGCTGACCCACTCTGTGGCCTTAGGCAAGCACTTTCAGGCATCCAGGCCTGTTCCCTCATCTGCAGCAATGGGCTGTTGGTCCTTCCTCTCAGAGGATTAAATGAGAGGACCCAGGTGACAATAGCCACCCAGCCCCATGCTTTGCATATAGTGGGTGCTCCGTGATCTTTCAACAAGAGCATAGAACTGGGCCAACGTTTGCTTCTTGCCATAGCTCAGAAAAATAACTCTGGAAATATCCTCCGGGCAGAGTTGGGGTGAGAGATGAAGGCTTTCTGAGGGGAGCAGCAGCATAAGCGAAGGTGAGGGAGTCCCTGACCACACGTGTCCCTCCAGGAAGCCAGCTACAAGGGGCACCGGGCCAACAAAGTGCTATTTTTGGGGAACCTGAAGAAGCTGCTGTCCACAGGCACTTCCCGATGGAATAACCGGCAGATGGCCCTGTGGAACCAGGTGAGTCTCCAAACGCCACCAACACTCCTCACCATCACTCCTCAGCTGAGTCCTAGCTTCATTCATTCATTCATTCATTCATTCCTCATCCACTCATTGAATTTACTGATGAATAACAGATGCCAAGATGCCAAGAGCCTGATGGCATGAGCCCAGGCCTTGGGCATCTTGTCATTCATAGAAGGAGACTGGTCAGGACAGAGAAGAGGACACATGGCCATGTCTGGGACCAAGATTGGGTGGAAGGGAGGAGAGGGCCTTCTGGACAGAAGGAGCAGCTGGAGCAAGGGCTTGGAATGATTATGAAGCATGTGGGCAGGAGGCGCTGCATGTTCAAGGCAGGGGCGGGGGTGGGGTGAGCACCAGGCCAAGCAGTATTGATCCGGTGGAATACTTGGCCGGAGTTTCAAAGTCTGGGCAGATCACTTCCTTCTCTCTGAATTTCCTTTTTCGTCTATTAGAATAAACAACAGAATAGGCAGCAGAGGGCTGTGTGAGAAGTGATTTGTTAAGGGCAACATGCTGGTAAAATAAAAGGTAGTGCTCTCTCTCTCTCTCTCTCCCCCTCTCGCCCTCTCTCACGTGTGCACACGCATACACACGTCCAGAGCTTCACGGCAGGAATGAATTTGTAGCTCAGAGAGCCCCGCTGAGGACCCCCCTGAGTGACCACCCTGCAGGTCTGCAGGCCACCCTGGTCTCCCTTTCCTTGCAGGATGACCTTTCTGTGCCTCTCACGGAGGAGGACCTGGATGGCTCTTCGGGTGTGCTGTTTCCCTTCTATGATGCGGACACCAACATGCTCTACGTGGTGGGGAAGGTCAGTCTGACATGGGAGGAAGGCAGCCTCGTGGAATCGTGAGGCAGGAGGCAGAACGACCCTAAGCCTAGCCCCACTGGTGGCCAGACAGCAGCCTGGGGCCCCTGGGGTGTAAGGCAGGGGCAGGGACAGGCAAGAGTCACTGGACACTCTCCCCCTGTGGTGGGCCCAGCACCCTTCTCTCATCTTCCAGGCCCCTAAGCACACCTGGGTCCAGGGCTTTGGATAGACACCCTGAACTGGTGCCTCCCTCCCCACCTCCGGGTCCAAGTGTCCAAGTGAGGAGGGACCCGTTGCTGTTTCTCATCAGGGGCACCTTTAAATTTGAGGCAGAACAGGTCTTCATCGGGTAGGACTATCCTCTGCATTTGGCAGCCGTGACCCCTACCCATCCGCGCCAACAGCAGCATTCCCGTGCTTCTGCCCTGTCCAGTCATTACGACAGCGACAACCAGGAATGCCCCTAGAGTTAAGGTCCACGCGGTGGTCTCAGGACGCGGCACTCTGACCGCTGAGCACAGCTCTGGGACGGGGTGGGGTTCCGGCTGTGCTCCCAGAGCTTCTGTCTCGGAGGCACAGGGTGGGCTTGGGTCATGGTTGGGGGCGTTGAGCATTAAAATGAGGACTCTCCTACTGGCTTGGTGACAGTTCCCTGGTGTTCTCTTGTGTGAGGTGGCTTTGCCAACTCTTCACCTACTATGAACGCCAGGTTTCTGGTACATGGCAGTGGGGGCCTGGTGGGGGGCTGATGGGAACCGGCTCTGAACCATACCCTCCTCATCCTCAGGGGGACGGGAACATCCGTTACTATGAGGTGAGCACCAACAAACCTTACCTGAACTACCTGACCGAATACCGCTCCTATTACCCACAGAAGGGGATCGGTGAGTGTGGGGCACCGAGGCCACTTGGGACCTGGGGAGACAGGGATGAGTCAGATTCGGGTCCTGCCCTGGAGGGGCCCACGGTCGGGAGGGGAGACAGTGGGCCAACAATCTGACTCGATGGGAGCTCTCATTGGGTGTGCAGGAAGCTCTCTTGAGAGGCTTCCTGAAGGAGGCAACATTTGAGGAACGGAAAGAGGAGGCAGAGCCCAGAATGGGGAGAGAATGAAGGTGTTCCAGGCCAAGGTTAAGCAGTTAAATAGTAGCACAGAGATGGGAGAGACTGACCTAAGGGAGCCCCTACGTTTTCAGTGTATTGGGGATAAAAAATAAACCAAGATGTAACTATACTCATATGTTGTCTACAAGAAACCCAGCAAAATGTAAAGGTGCACAGCTAGATTGCAAGGACAGGGATGGAGAGAGCTATACCACGCTAACTGTAATCAGAAGAAAGTTGGACAAGCTCTATTAAGAGCACCAGGTTCACGAGCTGTGAGGATGGCAATGGAGGGCCTGGGGCAGAGCACACTGCCTGCAGAAGTTGAGCTAAAACCGTTTAAATCCTTCACAGTGGGGCAGGGTCTGATGATTTTAACCCCACTTCCCCAGCACAGGGCCTGGCCCGGCGGAGGTGTTTGCTTATGAACAGTTTGTTGAAGGGAAGGGCGGTGGGTGAAGGGCGGTCTCTATTCACATCCAGATGTGCAGGCTGGCTTTGCCCCTCACAGTGGGTCCCCGTGGCCCCAGCCCAGCTGGAACTGCTTCACCCTTGTTGACCGTCTTCCTGCAGGTGTCATGCCAAAGAGAGGTCTTGATGTGTCCACCTGTGAGATCTTCCGCTTCTACAAGCTGATTACAACCAAAAGCCTCATCGAGCCCATATCCATGATTGTGCCCCGGCGGGTAAGGGTGGTGCGGGTAGCTGCAAGGGAGGCGGGGAACCCTTCCCAGAGGAGGCTAACCCTGGGGCCTGGAGCCGTGTGCCTGAAGCAGCCACACACGGCTGATGAGCACTGCCCTCCAGTGGAGGCCGTTCTTGTGGTCCCTGAGGCATCGCGGGGAGCTAGGAATCCTGATTCTTGCCTCACTTCTGCCCTTCAGTTGCTGTGTGACTTTGGGCATTACCTTTTACTCGTTGGGCCTTGATTTTTCTCAACTTACAGGCTTGGGGAGGGCCTGGACCCCCAGCTCTCTATGGGCCCTCCCCTGGGTGGCCTCCCCTACCACCCCAGTTCTCACTGTCCTGACTTCTCCCACAGTCGGAATCCTACCAGGAGGACATCTACCCACCCACGGCAGGGGCCCAGCCCTCTCTCACAGCCAGGGAGTGGCTCAGTGGGATGAATAAAGGTGAGGAAGCAGAGAAGAGGCCTTGGGCCACTGCGGCGGGAAATGGAGTGTCCTGTCACCTGGGTAGCTGAGAGGGGTTTGGACGGTATCTGTATTCTCCTGAAACCCCAGAGGACTGGTCCTTGACAGTTCCCAGTGGCTGTCATGGTCACATGGGGTCCAAGAAGGGAGGGGCTTGTTCCTGGTGTCTCAGAACGCTCCCTCCAAATCAAGGGGTTTTTGCGCCATGGAAAACTACTTTAAACTCCAGGCTGTGCAGGGTGACCAGATAGTCTCAGCTGGACACGCTTGCCCATCTTCCTGCCCCCACCTCGATTACTCAAGAGACCCTCTAGGCACCAGCCCCCTCTGCCTGCCCTGACTCGCCCTCCCTGTCCTGTCAGCATAAGGGCCAGCCCAGGGGAAGGTCGTGGGTGCTCCCCACCCCCACCCCAGCTGCTGCCTCTGTGATTGGGGTCTCCCTCCCCTTCTACCCCCCCAAAACTCCTCTGTGTAACCCTTAGACAGTCTCACTCCTCTCTGGGCCTGTTTCCTCACCCTGCTCCATGATGCCTGCCTCCCCTGCTTCCCAGGGACGTTGGGGGAATTCACAAACTGGAAGATGGCCGAGTGCACCCCTACATATGTGGGTGGTGTTGTCCCTACAGAGCAAGGACTCAGCTTCACTGGAGGAGCTCTTGGTGTCTGGGGCAGCCCCAGCCCACGCCCGAAGCTGCTCCTACAAACCAGGCTTCCTTAGACAGTCACGTGCGTGGGACGCTGATTGTCGCGGTCCATGGGTCTCTGCCTGTCTGCACGTGGCCAAGTCTCCCGCACCTTTTGTGGGGGCCCGCGTGTCTCTGCATGCCCACTTGTGTCAGTGCGCCCCATGGCCGTGTGCATATGGGCTCTCAGTCCTCACACAGCCCTCTGCTTCCCTCCCAGAGCCAGTGCTGGTGTCCCTCAGGCCCGGCTCCGAGCTGCCGAGCCCTCGGCCCCTGCCCCCAGAAAGATCGCTCTCCAACCCCATGGCCCCCGCCTCGCCCCACCTCTTGGGCCCAACAGAAAGGCCGGTTGCAGAAGACGGCCAGAGGCCCTTCTCTCTGCTGGAGGAGAGGTCGCCAAGGTGGGCAGCAGACCACAGGCTGGAGGAGAAGAAAGCCTGGCTCACAAACGGCTTTGACATCTTTGAATGCCCCCCACCAAAGACGGAGAACGAGGTGTGAATGGGGGTGGGATGTGCCTGGGGGGGTGGGGGGGAGGTGGGAGGGGGGCATGGGGGGGGCGGTAAAGAAATGAGGCCTGAGAAAAATAACCAGCTGTGTGGCCTGGCCTAGCTACTTAATTCAATTTGTTAATTCACTCAACAAGCAAGCAGTGAGCGCCATCTGTGTGCCCAGATGGTGGGTTTACATACAGACGGTGGAGAGCCATCTGTACAGTGAAGAGGGTTTGGCTTGGTGGGTATTAAAATCCCTTCCAGTTCTGACGTGCTGGGCGTCAGGTGCCATGGGGGGCGCTCTGATGCACCACCTGAGGGAATCCTCTCAGCAGCCCTGGGAGTCGGTAGGCAGTGGCTACAAACCAAAGGGCTGGCATCTCACAGAGGCATTCTAATCCTGGTTCTCCCGAGCACAAACTGTAGGCCATTGTCCCCAAGGACCGAGTCTCTCTTACTTCAGTTTCCATAGCGGTAAAGTGGGGGCACTATTACTGTGACCCTCACAGGGTCGTATGAGCATCCAGTGGAATCATCTTACTTAGGGCGAGTGCCCAACACCTAGTACCATTCTCTATGGCAGCTGTCACTGTGTTAATACTGAAGTTAGTTTTCTCACCCCCGTTTCGCAGAGGAGGATAGTCAAGCTCAGAGAGGGTAACTAACTTGCCTGAAGTCACACAGTTTAATAGCGGCAAAAACTCCAATCTTCAGACGTCAGAACCAAATTATCCTTTCCGCCATCCCACGGGGAAACCTCAGGAGACAAAAAAATATGTCTTGAACATCAAGTCTTTTTGAATTTCATTTATTAGGTGAATTAGGTTTTTGTAAAAGATCTATGCAATGACTGCCCCCGTAGACCTCAGCCACGTCAATCATCTCCACCTTTCTGAGTCCAAAAGGGACAATGTTTTATCTCTTCGGTTGGTGTCCTGCTCCCTCAAATCCCAGGACACCTGTATGACCTTCCCCTCTGTTCTGTGCTCTCCCAGCTGCTACAGATGTTCTATCGGCAACAGGAGGAGATCCGAAGACTCCGGGAATTGCTGACCCAGCGCGAGGTCCAGGCCAAACAGTTGGAACTGGAGATCAAAAACTTGCGGATGAGCTCAGAATGGTTCTGAGCAGAGGTTTCTGCCCTCCTTGCCCTCAGGGACACCACTTGGCTCCATGGGGAGGTCCAGAACCAAACCACAAGTCCCCCCAAGAACAACCACTATTTCTATATTTTTTACCAGAAAATGAAACTCGATCGCCGAAAGATTCCAATGGGACATGGTGCCGTTTTTCTATTTGCCTTCTCAGAACAACAGTGTCTGAAATGACTCCTTTTAGATGATAACTTGCCTTCTGTTGGATTCTGTTTGTAAGGGCCCATGATAAGGTATAACTTCCAAAGGGGAAGAACATTATAGTGATAGAAAGCTAGAGCGAGAAGAACCCAGGAGATAAACCTGCCTGTGGCTTTCAAAGTGTGGTCTATAGAATGGGGGAAAGCTAAACAGGAGGGCCCTCCCCGCTCCCCTCATTCCAACCAGACAGCTCCCCTTCTTTCTGGTTTATATATTGGCTTTGATGGTATACATAATTCTGCCACTCAAAAAAATTTAGAAGTTTGAAAACCTGTGATTGGCCCAACTTCCTCATTTTACAGGTGGGGAAACTGAGGCCCAGAGAGAGAAGAGTGATGTAGGTCCCCAGAGAGTTCGTGGCTGGGCTAAGCTGAGCTCCTGGTCTCCTGGGTCCGTCTTTCTGCTGCTTCTGGTCTGATACAGTTCTCAGCCCGCAGAGCAGGAATCCGCCGGTTCCAGCCTCAGCTGTGTCCCCGACTAGGAGTGACCTCAAGCCCTTCCCTCTCTGGCCTCAATTTCTCCAGCTGAACAAGGAGGGCACTGGAATCTGCCACCCAAGACAAGAAATGTTGGCCTTGACCTAAGGAAAACTACCTGTGGGGTGATGATCTAGATTTGTTGTGGGGACTCACCAGACATTGGCCAAGGGGTAGAGGGGGTTTAACTTTCCAGAAAGAAGTCAAGGTTCAACCCAATTCTACGATAGAGGCAGAAGGGCAACATCATCCTCTCTTCAGCCAGAATTGGCCGGATGTGGATAGATACCCCTTACTGTGGGACACAGACATCAGGTCACATTGTCCATGGTCACTGATAGCCACCAAAGCCCTCTGGTCACAGAGCCTGCCTCCTCCAGGACAACATAGACCACTGTCAGTCCAAGGTAACAGAAGAGGCCCCTGGGGGGTAGGGAGCCCCAGGGCTGGCAGTTTGCCCACACAACCGCCTGGCTGCCCAGCTGAAAGGGCTTCTGGAGAAGGATTGTGCAGGGCAAGGAAGCAAGAACACAAGCTCCCATCCAGCCTGAATTTTTCTGTGTTCCTCCTTTATGAATCTGTGCTCTGAGCACTTCTCTGAGATTTTCTTTCAGTGGTCAATATGGTAGCCCAGCTAGAGACAGGGGATGTTGGAAGTTGAATTACCTGCTTACCAAGGAGGTGCAGACAAGTTTTGCCCTTGACACAGGATAATCCTGGAGCTAGGATGGGCACTGCAGGAGGCCACCTGGCCTGGTTGGTTTCGACCCAAGCTGCACCTTAAAATCCCCTCGGGAGTGTTCAGGAAATACAGATGGCCAGGCCCAACCTGGACCAGTGGAAGCTGAATCAGCAGAGCCGGCCTCATGTTTATTTTTGTAAGCTCCCAGGTGATTCTGCAATACAGTGAGGGTGGAGACCCTGGGCTAGACCATCTGTACCTACCTACAGGAAAGACAAGGACCAGGAGCTGGGATTCCAACCTTGCCCTCCAAGTCCTGGCCAGAGGCTGAAATCAGGAAGCATTGTTTGGAGCCCTCTGCCAGGTCTCTACCCAAGCCCCAAACCCCCACATCCCCACCCCCATTCCTGCAGGACAGGCGCTGTGTGCTCCTGATTGTCCCCTCCCCTAGCCATGGCCGAGTCCACCTGTCGGGCTGCACGTGCCAGGCACCCCATTGCTTGTCTTGTCCTCCATTTACTCAGTAGCAGGGGCCCGCCAAGCTTGCCAAAGACCAACTCCCAGGTATCAGGGAAGGGGAATTCCACTGGATGCCTCATTTGCGGCCAGCACTTCACAGTTTACAAAGCCCTCCCACCTCCACTCACTGACACATCCTCTTCTACCGGGGGTCAGTCATGCATGATTGTCCCCTTCTTCAGGAGGGAAGTCTAGCCTCAGAGGACAAAGAAACTTTCATGCCCAAAGGCATGGCTACAAAGTGGTGGAGGTGGGGCTGAGTCTCCAGAGCTTCCCGAATGGCTCCTCCCACTCGCCCCGCCCCAAAGGGATCCAGACCTCGCGCCTAGCAACAGTACGAAGGCATCCATGAACAAATCTTTTTTTTTTACATTTAGAGTAAATTATTTAAATTATTTCACAGCCAGGGAGAGGGATAGGTAATTTTTATCAGATATTTTTTTAAGCCATTTTTAAAGATTACTTTTTTTGTTTATGTTCTTAACTGATGAAATGGCACTTGCTCAGAGTCTGCAGGGCCAGGCCTCCATGCTCAGGGCAGTGGGCAGAATGTGTGCTTGTCTCTACTCCGGGCCCTGGGAAGCCCTTGGCTGTTGGCTCAGGAACTTTCCGAGAATAAAGACAGCACTGGGAGATGAGCTTCAGGGTGTATCCACTTTAGTGCTATAGTAATTGTTCTTCTTGGAACAAAAGTTTGAGATTGGATCATAGAGGGAAGCAGGAAGTCAGAAATTGATCTATGTTTTTCATACAAAACCGTGCCTGAAGCAGTTTGATTGTTTTAATGTTGTTTCTGAAATTCCTTGTACCTTTGTAAAAAATAAGTAAATAAATTGAAGTGAAAATAAATATATGTGGAATCGTGCTATGGAAAGAATATTTAAAAAAATAATAAACATCATCTGCCTATACATTTTAATACATGGAACGTTCCTTTTCTTAATTTGTTCCACAAATAACAAGTACCTACTTTTCCAGACTGAGAAACAGGTAAGACAGAATTTGTCCCTGCCCTCTGATGTTTTAAGTCATGGTTTGAGGGAAGGGGAGGGCCAGGATCGGGGAAATGTAGGTTGCTTTGGGAGGAGAAGCAATGAAGGTTTCTTGGAGGAGGTGATGTTTGTGCAGACACCTGAAGGATAAATGAGAGTAAGCAGGACAATGGGCATTTGGGGAAAGTGGTCTAAGCCGAGGAAATTGCCTGTTCCTTGGCCTGGAAACAAGCCAAGCTTCGAGCACAGCCAACAGGGATTAAAGGTATTAAAAGCCAAGGGCCTTGTAGGTGGGAGCTAGACCCTGCCCTCCCGTTTTATTCAGGTATGATCGATAAAAATTGTATGTATTTGGGTTGTGATTTTTTTTAAAGTTTCACGATGTGGTGATTTAATACATGCAGACACTGTGAAATGATTACCACAATCAAGTTAACACACCTATCACCTCACATAGTTACCATTTTTTTGTGTGTGGTGAGAACTCTTGAGATCTTCTCTCAACAAATATCTAGGATACAATACAGTATTATTTACTATAGTCACCATGATGTATATTAAATTTCCAGAATTTATGCATCTTCTATTGAGTTGGAACCCTTCCCCCCTACCCTGGCAACCATGTTTTTTGTTTGTTTGTTTTAGATTTCACGTATAAGTGATACAATATAGGTTTTGTCTTTGTCTGGCTTATTGCACTTAGTATAATGTCTTCCAGGCTCATCCATGTCACAAATGGCAGGGTTTCTGTTCTTAGGTCTCAGTAACATTTTACTTTGTATACATATTCCACATCTTCTTTATCCATTCATCCATTGAGGAACATTAAGTTGTTTCTACATCTTGGCCATTGTGAATGCTGCTGAAATGAGCACAGGAGTACATCTCTCTCGAGATTGGGACTTCACATTCTTTGGATAAATACCCAGAAGGGGGATTGCTGGATCGTATCTTGTGGAGGAAACTCCATGCCGTTTTTTTCCATAATGGTTGTACCAATTTACATTCTGTTGAGGCTGGAACTTTTACCTGGGGCAATTGGAATTTCCAGGATGTTTCTCACAATTGTGGGAATGGTAATTTCTCCTGGGGAAAGGGCGAGAGAGAATCAAGGGAAAGTGGTTAAGGGTAGGTAAATGCATCCCATCCCACCCCAGAAGGCCGTAGCCAACCTGGTCCCATCCACGGGGCTGCAGTTTTTTGAGCATGACTGGACTAGCCTCACTAAGGGTCGCGGTGGGGAGCCCACTTCCTTCCGGTTAGCCCTTTAGGAGTGTGAAACTCAAGGGAACCCTCATTTAAAACGGAGTTGGGAGGCCAGAAGGGGGCGCCCTCAGGCACTACCACGCTAAGTCAATTATAGACCCCAACAGGAAGAATTGTTAAGTAGGGGCAAGCAGAAGAGATGCGCCTCGCCAGTGGATACTACCTTACCATTCCAGCAGGAAAAAGGAAGGTTTCCTTCCTGCCCACCAACTCAGCCAATGAACAACTGTCACCATCATGAGCTCTCCCTTTCCTTCAAAATGACCCCTCCCACCTTCCTCCTTTTTCTCTATACAGTAACTATCCTTTCCTTTGCTTGTCAGACTTGCCCATGGTTGTTGCTATAGCTTGCTTGTCCTGAATTGCAATTCCTCTGCTATTCCCAAGTAAACCCATTTCGTTGGTAAAAAAACCAGTTGTTTTATTTTAAGGTATGCAGAAGCGAACCTTCATTTCTGCTGTGGCCACTCCTAGGCGCAACATAAAGCAGGCTAGACCAGGCCTGAACTTTCAGCACCGCCTAGAGACTTCGGGCAGTGGGGCGGAAGAGCACCCTGAGGGGCAGGAAGGTGATGATGCAGCCGCGGTCCCCCAGCCCTCATCCCCGAGCAGCGGCGCACCGCCCCCTTCCACCCCGGAGCTGGGCCGGCTCGAGCCGGGGGCCCCGCCCCGCTGTCCTGCTTTCGATTTCCCACTCGCGCCCTGCCCTATACCGCTGCGCTGCGGCCCAAAACTGAGAGAGTGAATGGAGAGCGAAGCGCTGCTAAATGGAACACCTGAGGGGCCACGCCCCGCCGAGTCGGAGAACGCATGCAGCTGCCTCTGTCCGGAGCACAATGACCGCCCCGCCGAGCTCTTCTGTCGCCGCTGCCGGCTCTGCGTGTGCGCGCTGTGCCCCGTGCTAGGGGCGCACCGGGGCCACCCAGTGGGCCTGGCTTCGGAAGAGGCTGCGCACGTGCAGGTGGGGACGCTGGGGCGCGTGGCGGGGGGGGGGGGGGGGCGGGGAGTGCTGGTGCAAGCCCGGTGTCCGGCTGCCAGTTCCCAGTGGGACCTGAAAACCTCAAGACAGCCCAACATTCATCTAGGTGGCCGACCTGTTGTTCAGATTGAGAAACGTGTCCAAGATAGGGCAAAGGCAAGCCAAGGCCAACAGTTAACCTGCAGAAGAAGTGCGTTTGGGAACGAGAACTTGGGGTCCCGGGCGCATTCCCAGATACCCTTGACCTCAGCCACCATGGCGGGTCCACCACACTGACCTGGGGGTGGAAAAAATCAGCCTTTAACAAAGATTAAAATCTCTCCCTATTAGAAAATGGCCATGTAGCCTGGAGAGCTACACAAATATCTCTCGTTTTCTCTCCTGGAGTTCACAGGGAGGGGCTGTGGACTGCCAGATTGGAGGGGAGCAGCCTCAGCTCTCACCTCGGCCTACCCTGCCTCCGCCCGGCCCCTCAACACACTCCCATTCCTCAGGCACAACTGCCTGTGGGGAGCTAGGACAGCCATTTTATCCATAAGGAAAGGCAGGCTCTGGAGGCAGGGGCAGGCCTTGAACCCAGGACTCCACCCGATGGACCGCCCCGACGGGTCCCTTCTCACCTGGGAGCCCTCACAGTTGCTATCTTAACAGTGGCAGGGGCCCTGGACTTCTCTTCCAGCCTTGCGGTGGACTTGTTGTGTGGCTCCAGTCAAATCCCTCCACCTCTCTGGGTTATACAGGCCCACCTGCCTCAAGCAGAAGTTGATTCTGCCACTAGCACCTCCAAGATGTCTTCCATGATGAACCCATCTCCACAATAAATGACCTCTTTCCCTTGCATGGCATGACTTCATATGATCACATTGTTAACTACCTTGGAGCTCCAAGGTGAGAAGGGGCCCTGTGAGGGTCAGTCCAGCAGGTGGAGTCCCGGATTCAAATCCAGCCTGTGCCCCTAAGGTCCTCCTTTTGTTATATAATATGGCTGTATTATAAGAGCTCCTCAAAAGGCTGTTTTCCATAGTTAACAAGGGTGCTGTCCAGAGACATGGCTGTGGGTCTCATAGGTAAGTCTACTTACCTACCTATGTGTACCCATTTTGTGCCTACTCATCTATCCATTCATTCATTCATTCATTCATCAAACATCCATTCAGCACATAACTTGGGCCATGAGTCAAGGAATAGATCAATTCTTCCCTGACCTCGAGGTGACTTCCCTGGCTGGTAGAGGGAGAACAGGGACGACAGTGTGGTTAGTATTATAACAGGGACACCTGAGGCAGTGGTCAGTGGGAGCCAGATAGAAGACAGTGTGAAACAGGGACAAGAAGCCCGTGGAGATTTCTTGGAGGAGGTACCTTTGGAATTGGCCTCGAAGGAAGAGTAGGGTTTCATCAAGTACCAAAACAGGAGAAATGCCCTGTGGCTGGAGGACGGAGGCATCAGGAGGCCGGGTTGCCTTGGCTGATGGGCAGGAGCTAGACTTGAAGGCTTAGAAATCAGAGTGGGGTTGGGATATGCTCCTGGGACTTGGGTTCCTATTGTGTCCTCACTCCCACAGTATAGAATAATACTGTGTACTTAGTAGCAAATACTTAACCACACCAAGCACTTAGTGTATTTATTCTTCACAGCAACGCTAGGAGGTTATCTCCATATTTACAGCTGAGAAAAATTGAGGTTTAGAGGAGTGAGGACTCCTCTGACTCCTGGACTTGTGCTCTTAATTTGCTGGGTGTCCACTTGAAGTTGGCAGCCCCTGGTTATTCTGTTTGACTCAGCAAACACTTCTAGGTCATCCTCTGGGCCCTACGGGGAGGCCAGGAGTGGAGCAGGCCTGCCCTCAGGAGGCTCCCGGTCAGCCCAGCAGTGGAGCGTAGGGCCAGCCAAAAAAAGGCTGGAATGGGGAGGGGCTGCGGTGAAGTCCCACTGGCAGGGAGAGGGTCCCAGAGCAGGCCTTGGAAAAAGTGGCCATTGCAGGTGGGAGGGAGAGGGGTGCGTGAACCCCACAGACCTCTGACTCATGCCAGGCTTCTGAACCCCAATCCAGGCCAGAGGGCCACAGACCCCACTGGAATGCAAGTTCCACAAGGGCAGCTCCTAGCACAAGGCCCAGCACATAATAGTTGCTCGGTCAATATTCGCTCTGTAAGTGAATTCTCGTCCCTTGCCCCCAAGCTGCTTACCTTAAGGTCCTATTTGAGGGACTGGAAAAGCAGGTCACGTGCAGGCTTGTCCTAGGAAAAGATGCCTTGATGTGGGTCTCTGAGAATCAGAGGAGCCCCAGCTTGCAGCTCATCCTTCAACTTGCTGCTCGACTTTGGGCAAGTCATCTCAACCTTCCAAGTCTCAGATACCTCAGCTGAAATGCAACACAGGTGACAGGAGACGACCCCTGGGGAGTCCTGTATCATGAAAGTGACAATTTTAAGACTTTTCTCCTAACTCCTTTACATACAGAAAGTCACCCAAGAATGTTTAAAGCAGCTGGAAACCAAGAAGCAGCAGCAAGAAGACAACAAAAGCCAGATAGAAGACATTGCCGAGCAGCTCAAGGCAAGTGAGCATTGCTTCCTCATCCCAGTTGAGATGTCCACATTTCTCCTCGGGCACAAGGGTCTCCCCAGTAGGAAGCCAAGGAAAAATAAAAACCGACCTCAAAGGGGGCCGATCAGGTTCGGTGGGACCTGGGGCGTCTATAATTTAGGGCAGCGACTTTCCAGCAGTGGGCCATTGGTACACTGCTGTACTGCGAGAATATTTAAAACATGCCAGCACCTGACTCTTTAGTCAGGGGCACTGACCTCTTTACCCTTAGACTGTCAGATAAAAAAATGACAACAGCCAGCCCAACAATAGCCATCCAGTGTGAATGAATCAAAATTATACCTTTAAGGGGTCTAGCGGCTACTGTTCCATGAGCTTCATGGCGAGCCTGCCCCTGCCCAGTACCCTAGCCTCGCCCGGAGGCGCTCACCAACTGGAGGGAGGGTTTTTTTTGCCCCCTCACCAAGGCCATTCTCTCGAAAGGACTAGTCCTCCAGCTTCTGAATGCCTTAAACCGAGCAAAATACAGCTAAGGAACATACAAGTAGCTCGGCCGTGGTGAAAGCAAGTAAGGTATATATTCCACAAATATTTACTTTCTTCACACTTCTCCTTTCCTAACGATGTTTATTTAAATGGATTCTTTTGTGGGTTTTAAGTGGGAGTGGGGGTCAGTGTTATCTTGAGCTGCCATTTGGACTGTGGAAAAGTTGTTCTGTCTCTAGGGGCCTTTTGTATGATCTCAGCCAGTCCCTAACCCTCTCGGCCTCTGCGAACCGTCTTCCCAGGACCTGTTTCCCCGGGAGCTCTGTGAGCCCCGGCCTGACCACCACAAGCCAGGGAGACAGACTGGCAGTAGCCCGCAGCAGAGGCCCGATGTCTGCGAACCTCTGATCAGATAGAGCATGAGGCTCCCAAGACAAGAGTTAGGGTCCACGCAGACAGTCTATGGGGGTAGGTTTCAGCTCCACCTAAGAAGTGGAGGTGCCAAGGCCAGGTCATAGAATTGGCTTCTGCTTGCCCGGCATCCATTACCTGAACGATGACCACTGGCCCCAGTTTGCCGAGGACAGTCGCTGTTTATACCTGTCGCCCTGGCTTAGTTATTAAGAGTGTCCCTCATGTCTCCAAGAGCAGGACTCCAATCCCAGGTAGATAAATCAGTTCCAAAAGATTTAGAAACAAAGTTGGCACACGGATGGGGATGGCGGAGGTGCTTTGGGCTATTTAGCCAGGACTGCGAGGCACAGGTTCACTATCTGCAAATCTCTGAGCAGAACGAGTGTGGGACCCCCCCGCCCCAAGACAAGAGTTAGGATTCACATGGATAGTCTAAGGGGACAGGTTGCAGCTTAATCTAAGAAATGGTTTTCTTTCTTTTAACCTCCTCCATTTTCAAACTTTTATTTTGAAATAATTACAGATTCACAGGAAGTTGCCAAGATAGTAAGTGTGTGCCTTTCACCTAGTTTGTCCCAAGGGTTATATCTTAACTAACTTACTTACAATTTCAAAACCAGAAAATTGGCAGTGTGCATATATGTTCTATGTCAACTTATCACATGTGTAAATTCAAGTAACTACCACTGTGATAAAAATATAGAACTGTTCCATCACCACTAAGATCTCCCTCATGCTACACCTTTATAGTCTCCCCAGACCTGCCCCCAACAATCCCTAACTCCTAGCAGTCACTAATTCATCCTCTATCTGTCTAATTACAGCATTTGAGAATTCATGAACATGGTATATCTCTTATTTAGATCTTTGTTTTCTTTCGTCAGCATTTTGTAATTTTCTGCACACAAACCCTAAATATGTTTTATTAGACTTAAACCTAAGAGGCCCTCTGAAGGTGCTAAGAAAAATGTAAGTAGTGGTCAGCATTTTAAAGCTGAGAGGTATTTGCATAAAAAGTTAGATGTAAAAAAGGAGGAAGATGTGGCCACCCTAGGCTTACACTCCCACGTGGGAGCTCTCAGAGCCGAGCAGAGGATACTCATGAGAAGGACCTGTGTTGCCCAGACCTCCCGGCCCCTGCCTGCCCATTCTCCTCACTGTGTCACAAGGCTGCCTTCTTGGCATATACATTGCAGTTCCTGGTCAGCAAGCAGCTTTTTAAAAATTCAGCCATAAGTCAGCCACTTCATGCCAACCACTAGTCATATTTTGAGTTGTTGTTTTTTTCTGTGCAGTTAGATTCTTTTATGTAGTATCGTGTCCCCAGTATAGAGACAAGGCATGATGGCTCACTTCCCCACCTGACTTGACATCTGCATCTTCCTCATGCCTTCAGTAGGAGTACCCCCTGGTGTCCCACAGGCCCTGGGTTGTGAGAGTGCCCCTTCAGAGCACTGTGGCATGTGACTCTGCCAGGGACTCTATGAGTTTCAGCAGTTCCAGACCAGTTGTCATGTGACATTTTTAGCTTTGAGGTTCCACGAATTTAGAGTCCAAGCCTGTTGTTGGGTTTATTTATTCATTTTGTTAGTGACCCTCTTTTCTCCCATGACCCTGGATGAATGACAGGATTCCTTGCCGCTTCTCTAGCCAGTGGGGAGAGTTTTTCTGGTGCCTGGTTCATGGACGGAGCTGCTCTCTGTGACCCGGGCTTGACGCTGCTGGCCCCAAGCACCCTCCTGAATGAGCAGGCCCCTGTGTGGCGTGCTCTCAGACACCCCCATGACCACCGCCCCGGGTCACTCAGCTCGTCCTCTGTGCCTGCGGCTCTGACAAAGTTCCCTTTTTTTAGGGGCATCTGAGGATTTCCTTTTTGTTATTTGTTTGAGTGTGGGTTTTGGGTTTTTGTTGTTGTTTTTTTTTTTCAGGAGATAAAGCTTGATTCATTAAGCCATATTCCTAATGTTGAACATTTAGATCATTTCCAGGGTTCCACGAATATAAAATAGCACGCAGTGAACATCTTTTGGCACCTTGATCTGTTTCCTTTAGGACACACTTCCAAGTGACGCATCGGGTTCCACAGGCCCAGATGTGTGTGAGGCTTCTTGTGCGTTCTGTCCAACTGCAGCTAGCGGTTTGCGGCAGCGTGGTCTGGGGCAAGCATGCCGCTCTGTATTTGTTTACACAGGGACAGTTCCAAGGAAAAGGCCATTCACCTGGAAATTAATCTATAAAACAGTTTGATAAATAAATTAAAAGCAGTAAAGTTTATACATGTCCAAAGTCTACTGTTCAGAAGCCAATGAACATGCCTAACTAACCATACCTTTTCACAGAACAGTTGAGAACTTGGCCATTGATCCCCGACCAACACTTGTTAAATGATTTTCTCCGCCTTGTCAATAGGCTGTTTGCTTCTCCCTTGTGGCTCCTCAGGGGGCTAATACATACAGGTGTAGGGAAAATTCAACACTTGCCTGCTACCCTAACTTTTTATTCAAACTGGGATAAGATGATAATATGCATCTTCATTCTGAATCTTACAAATATTCTACAATGAGCTTTGGATACTTTTATAAATGAAGAAAAAGTGTATATATTTCAGTAGGATTAATGTCTATTGAATCCAGCCCTAGGGCGGGATTTAGAAAGTGCATAAACTGCCCTGGCCGGTGTGGCTCTGTGGGCTGAGTGCTGGCCTGTGAACTGAACGGTCACCAGTTCTTTTCCCAGGGTTGCGGGCCAGGCCCTCGGTTGAGGGTGTGCAAAAGAAACATCAGTGTTTCCCTCTCACATCAATGTTTCTCTCTCTCTCTGCCCCTCCCTAAAATCTTTTAAAAATAAAATATAATTATGAAAATTATAAAATAAGTCTAAAATGTGCATAGGCTTTCTGGCTGAAAGGCCCTTGGAAATGGGGCTACCCAGGAAGAGGGAATAGCCATTGGTCACATAGGAGGGTAGAGATGGACCTGGAGCCATGGCTGTACCCAGAAAGACAGAAGCCACTTTGAGGATTTCACCCAGAGGGGATAAATACAGGGAATGGTGATGGGCTTGGAGTGGGCAGAGAAGCCAACCAGGGCGTTGTGAGTCAGCGGGCACCAACCAGCAGGAAGCACCTTTACCCCAGAAGGCGACAATATTAGCAGAGTGTAGAGTCCAGGGCCACCTAGGCAGGAGCTGGAACCAGAGCGGGCTTGTGGGAGCAGGCGGGTGGAGGGGGCTCAGGGAGGCAGGGGCCACCTGGCTGTTCCCCTCACTCTCTGTCCTCCCTCTAGTTCCTCCTCCTATTGACCGAACATGGAGGGGGATCCTTGCCTGCCGCAGGCAGCCCCTCTGCCTGACACAACAGAGGGGGGCTGCGGGGCGGAGGGAAGGCCAGGAAACAGACCTGAGGCACATAGGCCTAGACAGGCACCCCGGGGAGTATACCAGCATCCTCGGTTCCGGGCTTTTTGCCTGTTCCCTATGACCCGCTAGAGCTCTAAGGACTGAGCCAGAGCATGGGGTCTGGGGCCAGCGGGGTGGCACAAACCAGGCCTTGCCGTTGACCGTGACGATGCCACTGGGCTCCCCCGCCCTGCTGGGCACAGCCATTCCTCTGCCTCCTGCTGCCGGCCTCTGCCACGTATCAAAGTGCCTGGGTGTCAGAGCTGACGGGGCCTGGGCAGGGTTGCCCCGCACACCTCCTTCCCTAAGGGATGCCCCTGAGAGGCATCCATAGCAGGACTGTCCAATTTTCTGCAAAATAGTCTTTTTCATTCTCCTCACAGGCTCCTCTTTCCCTGGGGCTTCAGGGGCCTGGGCAGGGACGGAGTCGCACAGCAGCTGGCACTTGGCGAGCAGGACCCTTCACCTCCCGTGCCCAGACCTCCAATCGCTGCTCAGGTTCCTCCTCTCCCACAGTCCTTAGACCTTCCTCAGCTAGACTCTGTCAGACCTTCACCCAGCCCAGCCCCGTCCAGCCGCGTCCAAACAACAGCCCAGTGCAGTCTGGGATCCAGTTTCATTTTGAACCAATACAGCCTACACCAGACAGCATACTTTCCTGTTGCATTGCCAGAATTCTCCCTCTCTCTCTGTATAATTTTAACCATATTGCA